AAAGAATAGAGAGCTGATATTAGAACGAGTTAATATAATTGAATGTATGACATACCAACAATTCAACAAATTCATTCATGTAGAACGATAAGTATTAAGAAAAAGAAAAAAAAATATTGATTAGACACCAATCAATAACTGTCAGCAAATCATAATCGATTTATCGAAAGAAAATGTCTTATATTTTTATTGTTTGTTTTTTTCACCTGTCACTATGACAGAGAAGAAAGCAAATATTTTGTTGTCAACTCATTTAATATACAATAAATGAATGATCTATTCATATTTATATCAAAATGAAAGAATTATAAACATTTTAGAGAATCTCTACCTAATAGAAAATTTTTAAGTTTAAACTATTATAAAAAAAACCAGTCTCTGCTTACCCATAGCTAAGTCCACCACAATGAAATATCCAAACAAATATGAGAACTAATATGGCCAAGAAGAGACATACAGTAAAAGTAAGTGTATAAAGAATATGAAGGAAAGACATGGCCAACTGTAATAGTAATAGGTAGTACAGCAATATAACTTTTTCATTGATAATTCATTTTATGTAGACTCATTTATTTCAATTTTCATTAATATGAAAGTTGTGCGGAACAATAGAAGGAAAAGCTGATTGTAGGTTAGATGAAAAGTAAAACTGAGTAAAAGAACGGAATAAAAAAAAAAGACAGTTGTGACTTTTTAGTAATGCGCGACAAAGAGAAACAAGAGACGAGAATGAAGTAATGCATTGCTAACGGTTCTTATTGAGTGTTTGCATGAGTGCGAGAAAAGAGACATTGGCCATGACGACCGTCTTACATGTTTCTTTTTTTATTGCTTCTACGAACTCAGTTCAAAACACCTACTTATTTTTTGCAAATTTAATCGTTCTCAAGGATAACAAGAAACTAAAATAGATTTTGTGTTCTGAAAAATATTAAGAATATTTTCGCACGAAACTATTGTGTGATATGGAAGTTTTAAAGGATAAAAAACCAAATGAAATTTCATGAAGAACATCCGAATGTGATTAAAATGCAAAAAATAAACTGTTTTTTTTTTGCCATTAATCTTTAATAGAAATTTTATTGTCATGAATGAAGAATATGTATAAAAATAATAAGAACAAAATTTCCTGCGGGAAATTGTTAAACTAAATCTTTCAAGAGTTCTTTTTCTTATTTGATGTTTAGTAAACTAATCATTTTATATTTTGATGATATGTTATTTTTTTACAATCATTACTAGTCTGTTTTCCTTGAAAATAATCCATACTTGTTTCTCTTCACACTTCATGTATATCATTATGATGATCCATTGATCAATGAATGATTCTTTATAGATTATCATTATCTAATCAAAAAAACGAAAGCTTGAAAGAAAGCTACGTATATTATTGATGATTCTAATAGAATTATAATCTATGTATTATCTTCATGCCTAAATCAACAGTGTATACATCTATGTATTTATTTCACCAACAGATTATATTTCATGTATTCTTTTGAAAGCACTCTATTCAAATATTCACGTACACAAAGAAAAACAAATATTCATTTTCAATGTTTTTTTTTTTTCTTAAAATTCTATTAAACTTTTTCTTACCCATAAAAGAGACCAAGTATATGGAATGTTCCAAGAAATACCCAACCAACAAGAAGTACATAGCAAAATATCTGTAAAGTGACATGAAAACCGTCACTACTATTACTTGTAATACCAAACATCGATTAATACTAATAAAATATCAGAACAGTATGGATATTGACGAACAACACCGCAGAAGTATAATAAGACATGAATAATGAAAAGGAAAAAAAAATAATCGCTGGCATTCTTTTATTTATTACGTTCTTTTGCCTACAGGTTTGGACTATTGAGAATACGAGCACATAATAAAATACGTCATCATTAATACCATACTATGTAGTTTTGAGACTCGCGTTCTTCTTCCTCATATTCTGCTCTTGGCATAACGATAGAGGGAACTCTTAACTGGTTGGTTCAATTTTATAAAACAACTTTTTATTCATCTTCCTATTTCAATAATAAAGTTCAATATAGTTTATTAGATTGTTTCTACTACAGATGCATATAACATCAAGAATGAATACATCACAGCATATCATTATCGTGATTTTTACCTTGGAAAGCAAAGACACTCAAAACTTCTGTTTTTATAATCGAAAAATGATACGACTTCATCTTTGACTCATAGATTAAATGTTCTTATTAATACATGGTAGGTCATAAATAGCTTTTCGATGAAAAATTGATTTATCTACACCCTACTTGAAGATAGTGTGCTGATCATTTTATCAATGATAAAGAAATATTTAGAATGTTCTTTCAGAACAGAATCATTAATGCACACTGCTTTCCATTGTTGCTATTCACTTTAATGCGTCTTGTATTTGTTCACGTGTTCGAGAAAAAAAGAAAGAAATCTAGAATAACCTATACATATTTTTTATGATTGTAACATTGGATAGTAATGTGAAAAGTTAACGTAATGCATACAGACAAAAAAAATGACAGAAAACGTCAATACAAATACTCAAAATCATATTCATTAGCATCAAATGCACCGTTGCAGACCTTCAGGGTCTGTGTGTGAGAGTGTCGTAGAATAGAAGACTCGCATTCAGTTCAGCATTAGAAAACGTTACATGTGGTATTATTTAGATCAATGGTGTAACTCAGTACTGACTACATATAGAGAAGGACGCTGAATGAACAATTTTCAAAAGTCGGACGTGTCACGTTCCTCATTGAAATATACGAGAAGCTAATTCCAAATCACAGAATGAAACAAACGATCGAGTATATATGCTTTGGAAAAGAAATGCACACATAAATCTTTCTCACGCAAGAGTCAAAAGTTGATAAATGAATGTTGTGGTTAAATATAGATAGACAAATTTTATTTTTTTAAAGCTAGCATATTCGATGGATTTTTTCCTGAGATTCATGAGAGATCTTCAAGTCGATCATTTCCGTTTTGAATTGGCAAAGATTATTGCTAAGTCTCGTGTTCCTAGCTCATTCGATCTTTCGCTTAAACTGTATGATATATTGTCACAGATACTTCAATGAGATCAGACATCTCATTTCAGAAGTTTTTACGTGTATGCGTAAAAAAATGCATCACAATATATATTTTAGTAATTATGTCTCAATTGTAGCTCCACATAGTATTGATTTTAGCTGTTCTCATCATAATCATTCGAAAAAAAATATTGCAACTATTTGAGGTTCAAATTTATGCCCATCTGGTTCTTATTGTATGTGAGCAAGGAAAATAATTTGAATTTTAACATTGATCGTATGAAGTCAAAGAGTATTTATTCATCAAAACCTAACAACACTATTGACTATTTTGCGTAAATTTATTTTTCCTAGAAAAAAAAAAGAGGAAAAAGAGGCGAAGTGGCCTGCGAAGTTGTGAACGAGTGTGTTTATTTTATTTCATATCAGTGCAAAGAGTTACATTACTTTATTGAAATGAGTGTCGACAATTGGAAGTAGTATTCATTAACGGTCTTCTTATGGAAAAAAGCATGAACATTTCTGCATCATTGATAAAAAAAATTGCTTCAATACCTTCAAATAGAGTAGAGATAATTAAATTATTTATCGCTCGAACATTTACATCAGCAAATGATACAGCATTAAAATACAATAAAACAATATCATTATATGTAATGAATAAAATTTGTAGAAATTTTTGAAGAATATAATAAGAATAATAAATAGACATAAAATAATTTTTATATTATAAAAAGAAAAAATAATTCATTTCGTTAAAGAAAACTTATCGATATTATATTTTGTAGTTAAATTGTTTGTTAGTACTCATCTTTGTATATAATTATTTAATGCTTAATCATAATAAAATTTTTGTCTGAGTAACAAAATTAACATAAGCATAATAGTTTTGTTGATCAAAAGTTTATTAAAATACACTAACTGGTACCAATCGTTTTTTTTTTAATACTCATTAATAATTCAAACGAATTATATACTTATAGACTTAGTTTTCACTAAGTGAGAAAAAAAAGGAGAGTGACAAACACAAAAGAAATTGATGTACGAAGCAATGATTTCTTTGAAATGATGTTGAAACAATGTTCAACTGTCGATGTAAATGAAAAAAAAAATACGACACAATAAAAGATCAATAAACTATCATCATAATGCTTCTATTTAAAAATAAACATAAGTTTTTTGATTAAACTTTTAGAATTTTAAAATGTAAAAAAATAATTCAAGAAAACTTTTCATCATTTCATTCTACGGTATTCAATTCATAAAAATTTTCAATATAGATTTCTTCTAATAATTTGCATATTATTTATTACCCTCAAGTTTTATTACTAACGACAAATGTTTATTGGTAAAAAATAAACTTTCAATATAACAAAACAAAAAACAACCAATCTCAATTGGTTTCTAATCCAATATATCAATAAACCATAGTGACATTAAAATGTTTAATTAATAAACATTTTTCAAAACTAAGAATATGTTTTTACTCAGTTGGAAGCTCATCGTATAATGATATTCAATTGATGACATATAGTCACAATAAAAACCACGTAAAATAATGGCTCGATAATCATGATGAGTAGTATCAATAAGACAAACTTTTTGATGATAAGATGGTGATCTTATAATGATTCATCAAGCTAAAGAAATTGAAGACTCATTTTACAAGTGATATCTAAGTTCATCTTTAGAGTATTAAGAAAAACATTCCGATAAAAACAAGTTAATCTAAAAATTTTTCAGATTCATATTTCTTCGAAGGAAAAAAAAAAATTTTAAATAATTTTAACAATACAAACAAAAATTTACTAATGCTATAAAAAATTTTCAGACTCAAGTGTCCACGATACACACATCGCAATCGTTTTTATCAATATCTAATGTTTAAACATATAAAAATTGCAATTTGTTATTGTCAATAAACTTAATTACATGTATTATTTTTACTTTTATTATTCTTAAGAACAAGCTTTATCATATTGTTCGACAATTTTTTTTAATTCATCATCAATTTTATAAATATGCATTTCATCTTGTTCCATACCAAATTTTTCATGAGATCGTTGTACAAGTATTGCCTTATTTAATGGAAAATTAAATGGATAACAATTAATATTATTTGCATACCAATCACCATCTTTAATTGCACCATAAGCACAATAAGTTTTATTTACACATTCAGTTGGTATCAATGGTAATGTTTCATTTTTTCCTATCGAACGTGTATTTGATGCTGAAGATTTTCCATTTGGTGGATAAGTACTTAATGCAAAAAATTTTGCTCCTGACATAATTACATTTCGTACAGCTTTTAAACCATTTCGAATATGCATATGTTGTAATGCATCACGAACTATAATTAAATCAAAATGATTACCATTTATTTCATGTGTAGAATTTATATATGTATATGTTGGTATTGGACAATTAACAAGATCCCAATATTGAAATATTTTATTATGATGTCTAGATTTATATAATTTTTGATTTTGTTTTATTACACTTATTGATATATCACCACCAAAATAAAGTTCTTCAATAGTATTAATTTCACGAAGACTAAATTGCCAATAAGTATCACCACAAGGTATATCAGCCATTGATCGAATTGAATAATGTTCAAATAATGTTCGTAAATGTCTTAACCAATCATAAGCACCTTCTAATGAAGAGCCTGGACCTGATCGACTACCAATTGTATTCCATCGTCCAGTTTCAAAAATAGTATCAAATTCTTTCTTACGAATATGAGATGATGAGTCATTTAGATCGATTTTACATTCATTATCAAGTAAATAAATAAATGAAGAAGATAACATTGTTTGAATTTGAGCAAAATTCAAATTTTTGTTTAGACTTGCTTTTTTTAATAATGAATACGTGATACGTGAGATATCATTAATCATTAAATTAGTGTAGAAGTAATATAATACCAATACAATAATAATTACAATTGTGGTAACAAATAGAGTTAAACGATGTGCTCGAGCTAAAGAAGATACGGTGCCGGAAATGCAAAATTCGAGTGGATTCTTTTTTTCGTTCATTTATATATGATTTCATAGAGTTTGAAAAGCTGGTCACAAATATATACTTATTATTTCGATTCGGTCACTGATTCGCTGAGACAAAGAATAAAAATATTGAATACCTACAAATCTTGAATATGCCTTATAGCACATATTTTTGAGTGTTCCTGTAAACCTATCTAGTTTTTTGTAACAAGAGATAGAAGCACGTGTCTTATCTCATTAGAATCGCCAGATCATGAGCTGCACAAGTATCGATTTAGGTATTTTACATTCTTTTTTATTGCTAATTGAATTTTTTTCTTATTTGTCGGTCGCATGAGACAAAAAAAAAGAAAAATGCGCGCGTATTTATCGATTTTTATTATCGTGATACAGTCAAAAAGAAAAATAAATAGCATATTTGAAATCAGCATCAAATCACGTACGCTTTAGTGAAAATTGTTGTCGAAGAAAAATTGACACCGGGGTGACTAGGAAGAAAATTTTTGAAAAATAGATCAGAGAGAGGATCCACAGGTCGATTTTCTGTTAAAAACAGTTTTCACTGAAACATACATGATTCGATACAGTTTTTGATGCTGATTCAGAATAGAATAGTTTTAAGAGTTCAACAAAATAAATGTGTTTAAAATTTCATAATCTCTGTAAAAATAAGTGAGTGCCTCGTTAAATATACTACATTTGTAGGCATTCGACATTTTTACTCGTTGCCTTAGCCGAGCAGTGGCCGAATCATAATAATAAGTACGCATATATTCGTGACCAGCTTTTCAAGCTCTATCAAACCATATATAAATGAATGAGAAAAAAATCTATTGAAATTTTGAATTTCTGGCATCTTATTTTCAAAATAAGAAAATGTTTCATCTTTCAACAAAATAATTCTATACTTTCTTTATATTTCATTAGTCAACTATAGCTTAGAACAGAAAGACTAGTATTATATGAAATGTCTCTCTTGATTAATCATTTACGCGATCAATATAAGTATTTTTAAAAGATCATTAGAACAATCGATGTAGAAGCATAGATACAAGTAAACTGTTGCGGAACGAATTTTTTCCAAGCTCTCCATCTAGTTTTTTCCGAATTCGGAACCGTCTCGCAGGACTCCAGATGTAACTAATCTATGATTAAAGCCCATGAGCTTCAAAAAACTTTCGGATCTAAATTCGGTTTATCGAACGCTTTTAGGATCTGAGCTGGATCGAGTTAACAGTAAACGTTTAGATTCTGGACTGGATACAATGGACAGTAATTGTCATAAGCAATTCACTCACAATTAATCTCTAATATTATAACTTTTTAATTCAAGCAGAATAACAAATAGCATAGTTTCATTCAATGTCTTATTATTCAATAGAAAATTTTTTTTCAAATATTTCAATGTACGAAAAAATCAATTTAGTCGGTAGAGTGGTCGATTCTCACTGAAAAACCTGCTACTGTTATGATGATATTCAACTGAATGTTTCGAATTCCACTGCTGTTATTGTACTGAACTATCAGAACTATTGTTATTAACTGAAAAGATTGATCGAGTGTCTGAGTATTAAATTTATGAATACTGCAACTTCATGCAGTTTTGCATTGTCCCTAAAAATATTTACTTACTGAGATTCATAAAGCAATTTACTAACCAATAAATAATAGTTCGAGACAACTAGAAAAAGTCTATTGAGGCTTTTAAATCACGCCAAAAAAAAAACTTTTCATTGCAACGTGACTATTCAACTATAGGAAGACAAACATAAACAATACTTGAAAAAAAGATGCAATATTTGTTTTTTTTTCTTCTATTTTTACGTGCTTTTCTCATAGGTAATGCGATCCTATAGATTATTGAAAGATTTACTAAGAAAAAAACTCTTTTCATTGTATAATCAGGTTTTTTTTAAACACCATTAATAGATGAGATGTTTTGTATGATAAATTGATATTATGAATGTTCGTCGTTAAAAAGAATTTTTATGCATACATGCTGACAGATGAATTTAATCTTTATAGATAGACAAATAACAAGAGAAGAAACTCATATTTTACTATAGACACCAATAGGTAATAGTCAACAAATCATCATCGTTTCATCGAAAGAAACTCATATTTTCATTTTTATTGCTTATTACTATGACAAAGAGAACAGGAGAAGACTTTATTGCTAACGCATTTAGTATATAATAAATGAATAACATACAAAATATGCTAATCAGTTTAGCGAGTTTCTATCTAAGATATAATTTCTCAACATTGAAAACAAGTCTTTCTTACCCATAAATAATTACATTAAAATGAATCAACCAAATTCAAACGAGGACTAATATCACCAGAACAAGACTGATCATTAAGATAAATGTATGAATAATCTAAAGGAAAAAAAAACATTACCAGCTGTAGTAATAGTACACAATACTGGAATGGAACTTTTTCATGAATACTTCAGTTCCTGTAATCTCAATATGCTTCTATTTTCATTAGTATCAATATGTACAGAACTGTAAAACAAAAAGAATTTTATTGCTGATAAAATGAAAAGTAAAACTGAGTGAAAGAGCAAACTGAAAAAAATGACGTTTATGATGTCTTAATAATATACGATAGAAAGAAATAACAGGAGAGAGGGAAATAATGTATTAATAACAGTTATATTCAAGCACTTACGAGAGTTACAGAAAAGAGACATTGGTCGTGACAACCGTCTTTCAGGTTGTTGTTTTTATTGCTTCTACGAACTGAGTACAAAACATTTTCTTTGCTGCTGAACCGTTGTTAAGCGTAAAAAGGAAAAAAGTTTACACTTAATGATAAAAAATTCAAGAATATATCTTGACGACGTTATTATGGTATGCATGCTTCTCGAAGAAAAAGTTCAGTATAATTTCTATAATTTTAAGTCAATTTTTCCGGTGCCGTGAGTCCTTTTTTCATCGCGATTAGTGCATACTGTAACAGATATAAAAGTGCAGATTGCTGAAAAATCTCGAGTTTTTTAAGGAGTCTTTTCGAGAAAAAAAGGAAGATGTTTCTTCAATAAAACACTCTTAATGCCTATGTGATATATTTTTTGTAATCGTTTGTTTTACCAACATCAAATCCTGCATACTCATTGTATCATCGATATCTGGTGGATGAACAAGATTCATACCGTTCTTAGGGATCATGGCTCAAAGAAATCATATATCAAATAAAATTTAATATGTTTTATGTGACCGGAATACGCATTTCATTATGTATTGAATTCTCTCTCTTTTAACCTATCTTGTTATAAAGTCAAAATTCAGAAAAAGAAATATGCAGAAACGTGTGCTCACTTGTACTCTTTCATCAGGTACAAATGACATATAACAATTACTAATTTATTTTTCTTTGGAAAAATACATTCATATTTCTGTCAATAGTGTTCAGGTTTCTGACGGAAGAAATTTCGGAAATAGTATAAAACATTTCACAAATTCTTCGGAAACTTCTCAAATTTCTTTAACATCGATATGGTCAAATAAATTTATTAATCTATAAAAATATGTAGAAGATCGTCCTTCAAAACTATAAAAGCTTTCAGTATTTTCATAGTAATATCCGAAATTTTATAACAATTTTCGGAGATTCATATGGTTTGGGAGTACGAACTTCCATTACTTATCATCATCTAATGTGAAATGGAGAAGCTTGGAAGATATCTACGTATATTATTGATGTTTCAGATCGAATTTCAATCTATGTATTATTCATGTCTACATAAACGGTATATATATATCTATATATTTATTTGACAAACAGATTATAATTCATTTATTTTGTTGAAATCACCTAATGCACACATACATGGATGAAGAAGAGAACCAGATATTCACATTCAATGTTTTTCTTTCCTTATAATTATAATAATTTTTTTTTCTTACCCATTGAAGTGACCCAATAAATCTAATGTTGCAAGAAAGTTCCAGTCAATATACAGTGAAATGAAAATATATCTGTAAAGAGACATGAAAAACGTCACTACTATTACTGGTAATATCATACGCGAATTCAACCTTAATAAAACATCAGAACAGGACTGATATTGGCGAATGGCGTCGTAGTATTAAAAAAAATGACATTAGTAGTAAAAAAAACAAGGAAACCATAGATTTCATTTAATCATTTAGATCAATTATTCTAGTGACCTGATTCATAGGTTTCCACCGAGAACCTGCAAGAACAACGCTGTGTTCGGTCGAAAAATGGTAGAAACATGGAAGTAGGAATTGGGTGACCGTATCTACTCGTCGACTATGTTCGGTTATGCTCGAAACCAGATAAATTCTGTCAATGAATCCAATAACCAGATTCTTATTTTCAAATTGCTAGTATTTTTTTGGGCAAGAATTGAATATACCTCATTCACCTGAGCACATTTCATCACCTTCAACTTTAGACTATTGAGAATACAAATTCATAATAAATTCTATCATTATTCATATCACACTTCACATGGAATGGGGGCTTACATTTTTCTTGCTTATATTCTGCTGTTGACATAACACTAGGTAGAACTTTTGGCTATTCATTTCAACTACATAAAACTACATTTTTTATTTTCTCTGTTGAATAATTAACCTCCAAATAGATAATAAAAAATTGCATATACTAAAGAACTATGTATTTAAAGACAAGGTTGAACATATAAAATGACATTATTACCGATATATTTACCTTGAAGTGCAAAGCGATCTAAAATATGTACAGTTATTATAGAAATATGATGTATTTTATACATATTTACTCATCATTATGAATTTTTAGATTAAATGTCTTTGTCAATACGTACATAATAAGTATAAAGTTCAATTAGAAAAACTTCGCAAATTTTTATTTTTTCTCTTCATGTAAAAAAAACCATCTAATTCAATGTTTCAAATATGTCAAAGTTGACACTGAAATTCAAATATTGAATATTTTATAGGTGAGAACTTTAGATTCGAATTTTTAACTATACAATTATTGAATAATACGATTGAAATGTTATCGCGATGTGAAAGATTGTCAACACTGTTTAATGAATATTCGTAACTATTTTACAAATAATCAGTTATTCATACTTTTTTGTCAATGTCTGTCAGTGGATAGCTATTTAATTTCAGAAACTACTTAATAAATAGTCACCTATTTATGTAGTTTAACTGATTTGTTTCGAGCAAGAAATATCAAAAATTGAAAATATCTTGATGAATAACAATCTAATCTCAGACACTATTTGATAAATGTGGATAGTTATTTAAATATCACTGAGCTAGGTACGGATGTACAGCTCACGCCTACACTCATGAGTGTGAGCATTTCTGATTTGTCGAAAGCGGGAACGTTTCTGATCACTTTTTTCGACTTTATTCCTTGAAAATCAACATTGACGATTTTTGTGCCTGGGGTCCCCCTCAGATATCATGGAAAAAAAAAACTTTTTTTTCATGAGTCAAAATCAGATGTAGTGATAGATTGAGAGATGCTGGTTAAGAATATCACAATGAGAACTCTCAAAATCTTTTTATTTCTGGAATAGTTCTAACCACTCTGTACACCCTTTTCTTTATTATTGAGGTTCTCATTGAATAGTTATTCACTCAAATTTAGCTAGAAACATTTTTCTTACGTAAAATTTCGAGTTCTCTACGAATCTGAACTTTTTACTCCGAAAAAATGTAACTTTTGGAAAAAAAAATGGTCCTTCCGGTGTAGAAATGGACTCTTTTTTAAATACATAGGATTTTGTCTCGATAAATTTCTGGGAAGCGACTGTTACTGTAACATGAAATTTGAACCATTAGGGTAACTTTTCAAGCTCTTACGGTTGGTAACTGCAAAAATAATTGAAAATGTGTACAACATAGTCAAAAACTCTAAATTCTGGCAAAATTCATCTTTTCCCACTAGATTTGCCTATATATTTTGATGTTTAGTACGAGACCAGTCTTCCGGCGACGTCAAACACGGATTATATATCTTACTTTTCAAGTTCTATCGGTTTATAGTCGCAAATAGATAAAAATAGAAGAACACGAGAAGAGAAAATCCAAAATACTGGAACATTTAGCGCGTTTTCAGAATATTCGTGGATATTTCCGCGATCCAGTTTTCTGAAAGAAAAGCTAGTCTTTTCAGGAGACTATTTATGACTCTATCGACTGGTTATGCTGGTAGTAAATAAATGATATCGAAGATGAAAAAATGTAGTCCAGATCGATAAATATTGCCACATGTGATATAAATTCTAATATAACTGAATGGTAAATTCCCGTTAGAGAGTACTTATGCGGGAAGAAAAACATAAATTGAACTGTTGTATAATGGATTTGAGATAGAAATAGCATGTTACCTACTGCATAAATTTCGGGATTGTAAGAATTCATTTTGATCTGTTGTCTGATTATGATAAAAAGAAGAAGAACAAAAGATTAGATCGCAAATTTTGAAGACAAGCGTGGAAATAACGTAGTAGCTCTCTTTCAATTGAATTATATCAGCTTCGTTGTTTGATTTTGCCTCTTACCTCAACAAGAAAAAGACAGTTTGAATTAAAATAAATCTGCACTCTTTCCACCACAATCAAAAACACCTGGCTATCAATGTTTTTATATAGATATTCAAAGTTAGATATGTAATGAAAGAGTATAGAACTGCAACAAAAAACATTTTATTTTTGATTTCAAACTTTCAACAATTTACAATTGTCATCATCAGGAAATCATTAGGAAAGAACAAAGTTAAGTTATATATATAGATATGCAAAATAAGGCAGAAAACAGAACAACAAAAAAAAAGGAAAAAAAAACATTACCATATCAAGGGGCGGGGAGAGAGAAGATGGGTACTAAAGAAAAAAAACAGTTGAGCAAAATTAATGTCTTTCAAAATTGCATTTAAACAAAGCGCGCCTACTGAAAATTGTTTACGGCAGTAAATCCAGTATACGCACTCCATTACAACTTCACTATATGTAAAATTAATTCGAATTAATTTAAAATATAGTGAAATTGGAATTGTGTCATTTTTGTTATACAAATTGATATCGTAATGTTTTTTTTTCCTTTTTTTTGTTGTTCTGTTTTCTGCCTTATTTTGTATATCTACATATATAACTTAACTTTGTTCTTTCCTAATGATTTCCTGATGATGACAATTGTAAATTGTTGAAAGTTTGAAATCAAAAA